CCTGCCATGTCACAAGAATTTCACTGCTCTGATGACGCTAAGTTATTTGGTGCATGTGACAATAAACTTTGATTTGATTTGATTTGATTTGATTTGAGAACTCAGTATTTCTTTACTCCTTCCCAGCATTTCCTTACTTCTGTGAAGAGAGAATGACTCTAGATAAACAGCAAAACTTTACCAACCTGAGAACAATAGGCTTTCTAAGCAGAGGTCATGGCCTGTCAGAGATACAGCTCTTGAAAAAAATTAAGAGACCAGTTTTAAATAGTTTTTTTATATAAACTACTGACAACATTTCTCCCAAATTTCAAATAAAAATATTGTCATTTAGAGCATTTATTTGCAGAAAATGACAACTTGTCAAAATAACCAAAAATATGCAGTGTTTTCAGATCTCAAATAATGCAAAGAAAACTATTTCATATTCATTTTTAAACAACACAATACTAATGTTTTAACTTAGGAAGAGTTCAGAAATCAATATTTGGTGGAATAACCTTGATTTACAATCACAGCTTTCATGCGTCTTGGCATGCTCTCCAACATTATTTCACATTGCTGTTGTGCTGTGGTGACTTTATGCTACTCCTGGTGAAAAATTCAAGCAAGTCGGCTTTGTTTGATGGCTTGTGACCATCCATCTTCCTCTTGATCACATTCCAGAGGTTTTCAATGGGATTCAGGTCTGGAGATTGGGCTGGCCATGACAGGGTCCTGATCTGGTGGTCCTTCATCTACACCTTCACTGACCTGGCTGTGTGGCATGGAGCATTGTCCTGCTGGAAAAAACACTCTTCAGAGTTGGGGAACATTGTCAGAGCAGAAGGAAGCAGGTTTTCTTCCAGGACAACTTTGTACTTGGCTTGATTCATGTGTCCTTAACAAAGACAAATCTGCCCAATTCCAGCCCCACGAAATTTCACAGAAGGTGCGAGACACTGTGAATTGTAGGCCTCTCCAGGTCTCCGTCTAACCATTAGACAACCAAGTGTTGAAAATTGGACTCATCAGAGAAGATGACCTTACTCCAGTCCTCTATGGTCCAATCCTTATGGTCTTTTGCAAATCTCAGCCTGGATCTTCTTTGCATCTTATCGATGAAGGGCTTTTTTTCTAGCTTTGCATGACTTCAGCCCCGCTAGAAGCCTGTTTCTAACCGTCCTCGCCATGCACTTCAACCCAGCTGCTGTTCTTTTTGGAGGTCACTTGATCCTACGGTTGTTGAGTGACATTTGAATGAGTTGGTGGTCATCCCAGTGAGTGGAGAGTCTGTAGCTTTGTTGTCCCTAATGTCTGTTTGTTCTTATGAACCGCCGTCTTCTTAAACCTGAAATTTTAAGGATGGGAGCAACCTGACACTCATTGTATCCCTCTGCCAGTAAAACCAGAATTGAACCCTTCTTTTCCTCACTCAAAACCTTTCTTTTTAACTCTTTTGGCATTGTCAATTGTCACCTTTTTTTATTCCAATTACTTTTGAGGTACTACTAGCACTGTTTCTGCCATCCAGCTGGTCCTATTGCAAGAGGATAGTGATGACCACAGCACTGTTTTTTATACTTTCTTCATAAAATAAGATTTGGTTCAGGTGATCACCTAATCAGTACCTCATTGAGTAGAATCAGGTCTGCCTGTATTGGAAATTCAAGAGACACTGGAATGGAATGGCTGCCATACATGTAGAGATGCTGATTTAAAATTTTTTTGGAGATGTCTCTTAATTTTTTCCAGAGCTGCATATTCTTTTTGATATATGCATATTTGCTTAAACATATATGCATAAACGTATATATATTATATTCATATCATTGAATGTTTCCAGGATAATGAAACAGATTACATGCTAGAATTTGATTCCTATGGGAATCATGAATTGCAGCAAGGCTTTGGAAGGAGGCTGTTGGTAAAGCTGTTACCAGCGTTTGTTCAGCCTGTCAAAAAGTAGTTGAAGACCTCCTCATGGTTCAAGCCTGATGAATGAATGTTGCACTGAGAGGTTTGGGGGAGCCAAGGTGGCGATGCTGGACGTCTGATTCACACTCTGAGTGAATCTCGAAGGACTGATTCCAAGTTTCAGGAATAAAGCTGACTACTTCATTGGAGGACTCAGACTCATTCGGGTTGAGAGAGAGAAACGTCCCATGGAGGCACAACGATCACATGGTCAAGCGAGTTGGCTGCCTGAACTAGCTCGCAGTGTTCACACCATTAAAGCATAACACTAACATAACATTAAGGTAAACATTCTGTATAACACTTAATGATAATATGTTCAGGCCTTGCATTACACTCTAGTTCAATGAGTGTAATGCAATCATCATCATAAATAGAGCATACATCATTGTAAACTATAATACTGATTAATCATGACCTTTTAACATAGCTATTATAACAAAAGCATTAAGTATCACCTCGATCCAGTATTAGGAACAATTTTAACACACATGCTCTTTAGTGTCCTCTCTCTTGTGAAAGTACAAATAAACTATCACTATCATTTCTCATTTCCAATAATATGTGTAATATTTACCTCTTGAAGATGTACAGTAATAATGAACAACAATATTATATTTTTGCATCTTCCTGTCGACATGCAATACTGAGCTGTGGACACTGCCATTACAACATAAAAACAAAAATATATAACTAGAAAATAAAAGAGCTGCTCTAGTATCAGGCTATACCAAAAGCTTACTGTTTTAATTCACTGCCTGTACTCAACAACCATGCACATATCCCTAGCATATTTACCATAGGCAATACACACAGCGCAATACGGAGCATGTACTCACAACTTGCTTCATTAACTTCAGACTACTAGCTTACCGATATCAATGGAAAAACCGGGACCTTCTGAGTTCTGGTCAATTTGTTCCAGTTTCTTTGCTTTACTAACTTTATTCATTTTAATTATACTTCTCTGCTGTGATTGCTCCCACATGACAACTTCTCTCTCTCTCTCTCACACTACTGATCATGCAGGTGTTCTGTGATCTCTCAATCATGTTTAGTTGGAGGCGGGATATAACTAACTTTCAACTCTGAGTGGCTGATCTCTCACTACCTGTTGAATCTATCAATCATGTTGAGCTTGAGGTGGGACATGACCAACCTATCACCTCTGAGTGGCTGATCTCTCACTACCTGTTGAAGAACAATCCTTGCTGGATATTTTAACCCTTTATTGTCACTGGGTTACAAATGCAAAGGCCAATCACGTCATTTTCATCAAGTGTATTCATGTATAGAACTGCACAAAACAATGTGACATCCATATCCAGAACATATTAAGACACTTGTCAAACTGTGTTAAATCAGAATCAGAATCAGAATTCTTTTATTTGCCAGGTATGTTTGCACATACAGGAAATTGCCTTGGTGTCATTGGTGCACTACTTATGTACATAAAACAACAATATAAAAAACAACNTTCACTAACTCTTACCCATATTCATTCTGTTCTTTGTGTCGGTAGGACTACCGTGTGAATATCTTCCTTCGTCAACAATGGAATGATCCCAGGCTTGCCTATGCTGAGTACCCAGATGACTCTCTGGACTTGGACCCCTCTATGTTAGACTCCATATGGAAACCAGATCTATTCTTTGCCAATGAGAAGGGAGCCCACTTTCATGAAGTCACTACAGACAACAAACTGCTCAGGATATTTAAGAATGGAAATGTTTTGTACTCTATTAGGTAATTGCAGCTGGTGGGCATCAGTATTCAAGCTGCTTAGGAACATCCTTTGTGAGACAGAGTGGTCAGTCATAAGTCATAAGTCAGTGGATACAGGTCCAGAGAAGGGATAACATTATTGTAGTAGGTTTTCCTGAGTGTGAGGATACATTTTTGTGACCAGAGGCACACATTTAAGCAATGTCACATAAAGAAAATTAATTGTGAGGAATCCACCACATGTGGTATACAGACATCATCTGAACCTGTAGGATTTGCCTTTTTCAAGGGCAATCACTGAATAATGAAAACTGCATTTGAGTTGATTTTACCCAGAGATAGCATCATTTATTTACGTAAGGAGCACACACAAACAGCATGCTTGCCTGCAATTATACAATACAACAGTATACAGCCTGAAATAATGTGTAGTTATACAATGTATTGAAATGGAAGCTGTCACATCTTGGATATTTCAGAGAGGTTTGGCTTCAGTTGTGGAGCTTCAAATAGATCTCCCTTAGTGCTGCATTAGTATGAAATAAGCACAGATAGGGCCTGATCTTCTAAAGGTTTGCACGTGTAAAAACGTGTGCAAACTGGATTTCACCCGCAAAAAAACATGCAAGCTGATCTACTAACACTGAGGATTGTGTGCAGAATAACACACACTGTCCATTTAGTATGTTTGCCTTAATGAATATGCAATATCGGTCTTTTCTACTCAAGTGCTCAAAATATCGGGAGGAGTAGATGCAAATACTTTGGTTTACTTTGCTGTAGCTCAACAACATGTTTGTCTGCCTCTTCCACTAACACCTCCATTTCCATGGCATTAAATTTTACTTTGTGCTTGCGGTCCCACTGCTCTCCATAATGCTCCATGGCGGAAACCAGTAACGCACACAATTATTTTTAGTTGATCAACCGCAAAATGCCCACCAACCTATCCAATGCACACACAATTTAGCACTCATTATTTGGGATCTTAGTAGATCAGGCCCACAGAGTACATGTGTATGACATTAATGGATTCACTGAAACCTTGTCACCGACTAATTTCTTCACTCTCCCTTCTTCACTTTCAGACTAACATTGACTCTTTCATGTCCAATGGATCTAAAAAACTTCCCCATGGATGTTCAGACTTGTATCATGCAGCTGGAAAGCTGTAAGTACACACACACACGCACAGTTATGACTTTGAAGGACATTACATTGACCTACATTTATTCCCTGGACGGACAATAACTTTTCCTGACAATAAATATAATTTTGCCTAAACGTTAACCTAATCCTTACCTTAAAGCCTGTTTAATGTTAAATAACTTACGTTGTGGGGACTTGCTTTTTGTCCAAGTCCCTATATTGTAACTATACAGATTTAAAACCAGTGGAGACCCTCATTGAGACAATGCATTTAGCTTACTCGAACCTTAACCATCACAATTAATGTTTAAACCTTTACCCTGAACTGGATCTAAACCTAAACCTAACCTCAACATTAAAAGTGTCAACCCACAAACAGCACTTAGGTGAAATTCAATTGTCCTCACATAAATAAATAGCAGTTACGATCCTCAGATGAGGGCTTGACAATTGTTTCTGTATTTCGTTTTACCCCATCGACGGTGATATGTTGTGGTTTCTCTCTTGTGACAAATGTACTTATTATTAGTCGCTTTGGACAAAAGCGTCTGCTAAATGCCCTAAATGTAAATGTATTTACATTTAAATATTACTTTGCACACATTTGACACCAAGTACCATATATGACACAAGGGACAGATACCATTTCTGTTAGTGTTACTCAATTTATTTGCTATTGTTAAAATTTAAATGAAACATTTTTCTCATTTGTGTAGTCAATTTCTTAATCCCAATGACAAAATCACCAGAGGTGTTACAACCTTGTTTCCCTGCTTTTTGTAATTTCCACACAGATGTAAGTATTACACACTTTTCAGCTGAACTACATCTGCACATCTGTGTACATGTTTCTGTGCCTCTTTGTTCATTTCTTACCTCCTCTTCTTCTGATTTATAATTCATCATATTTTTGATGGAAGATGTTAAAGTAAAGCTAATCTCACTCAGTAATGCAACTTTTTAGGGTTTCTTGACAGTTTGTTTCAACCTGTGAGCAGGCTTGCATATTCTTTTCAAGGAAACACAAAGTCATGTTCATGTTTATCATGTTGATAGGATTATAATGACTAATTCATCTTTTGTCCAGTCAGGAGCATGTTCTGGCCCCAGGGCACAGAGAACAGTTGGATGCCTTGTATGTATTTTATTCAGCTCCAGCTCAATGGCTCCAGCTCAAGTATATATAGATCCAGCTATATATTATGGCAT